TCAAAGGAAATGTTCACTTTTAATCCAGATTTTATTGCATTCCAATCTTGTGAATTTATTTCGATCATTTCTTCATCAGGGATATAAGTTTCCTCAGCTTCCTTTTCGGAAATTTCAGTCTCTTCTTCAATAATCCCCATCTCTTCTTCACGCTCATTCTTAAACCCAGCTTTTTTAAAACCATTTTGAATGGTCTTCTGTGTTACATTTCTCCATGCGTGGTCTGTCATTCTGATAGAATCCAGTACATTTATCTTGGGAAGGGTACTTCCTTCATCAATTGCATCTACGAGTTTGCGGATCAACTGTTTTCTGTAGTTAACTTTAAAACTTCTGATTACTCCCTGATCCATAGGTTGAAGCTTTGAGGTGGTGTTTGCGGGAAAATACTTAACACAAACATTTTTCAGTTCAGGCAGATTGTTATGCGCACTACAGTTGTCTATAAAAAGAATAATTTTTCTTTTTTTTAATCGCATGGATTTGTCTAAGGACTTTAACCAATTTCCAAAGATTTCACTCGTCATCCAAGATTTTTTATTTGCTTTGTATGGAAAAGGGAAGGATTTTACTTTAGAAAAGCATCTAGGCTTTTCTGAGCTTCCGATCATGAGAGGAGGAAGTTTCTCTGTTCCTGTTTCTTTTGCAGCTAAGAGCAATGTCAAACGAGCTTTACTTTGTTTTCCTCCCCTGCATGCTTCATCTGTAAACATAGCAGTTTTGTCTGGCAAACATTGATAAAACAGTCCTGTCTCGTCAGCATTGAAAATATTTTTTTGGCTCATAGCCTTTCACTAAATCAGGAATGTTTTTTAATCCAGTCTTCGCATACACTTTCCGGAACAGAGGCACTTTCACCACAAAGTTTTCGAAAAATAATACCGTGCCTATTTTTAAAACTTTCTAGCCATCCGTTACTGCCTTTAAAATTATCTTCATGGCCAAGCTCTTTAGCAAAATCCTCAGCTTTTTGTTGCATTATTTGTCCACTGATAGGAATACCGCTGCTCCTGCATTGTGTAAACCATTTTAAAACACATTCATCCACGTCCGGAAAAGTGCATTTTCGGCTTTTTTTCGCATTCTTGTTGCTGCTATGAAATTTTTGCTCCACAGCTTCTCGATTCTTATAATTGTAGAAAGAGTGCTTGCTGGTAACCCGAACTTCACCGCAACTTCATTTTTTTTCATTAATGGATTTCCGTCCAAGAATGTTAAAATCTTCATTTTTTCTTCAATGGAGAGAACATTCAATTTACGTTTAGCCCCTGCCATACTTAATGAAAATTCAATTGAACAATGTTTTAAAAAAGACTAAATCGCTCAAACCAACGACCTCCTAAAAAATTCTACTGATAAAATGAATTTCTCTTTGTGTTGTTCTTATCCATGTGTGGAAACTGATGCCCAGTGGTGACGCCCCCCTCATCAATCAACTTTTCATTGTCCGAATACACTCAATTGGAGAGTGTGACGATAGTAACCGGAAATTCCAAGAAACGACCCCCCAATCTGCTCATTCTTACTTCCCATGGGGCTAGGGAATTTTTCGGTTCTTCTAATGTAGCTTGTTTGAACAAGTCCTGCTGTCCAGGCATCGGTTACGATGATGTACATTCTCCTTCAAACTTCGAGAAACACAGGTTTTGAAAGAAATTTTTTCGTAATAAACTTGGAAAAATACATTAAAATTAAATCATTAATTTTGGGAAACTAAGAAATTTCGAGAAATACAGGTTTTCGAGATAAGCAGGTTCGAGATAAACAGGTTCAACTGTACATTTTAGTCAAATACAGGATGCATATATTTAATTTCTAATAGCTTATATATAAGAATTATTTTTTTTCCTGATATATCTATATTCAGGGGCCATTTAAGAAGAAATTTTTCCCGTTAAGCCTTTATCAAATTTTTAATTGTTAAAAACTTTTTTTCACGAAATAATTTATTGAAAAAATAGATTATTCACAAAATTATTTATTGTAATTACAGACCCTGCTCAAAAGCATCATGAGAACCGACTCCTCACAAAACTTTTCTTTATGTACATGGAGTTAATGACATCTGTAATTCAAAATTTTCCATTCAAAATTCCATGAAATTTGAAGTTAAGACTTCTTTTGCATTTTTTCCAAACAAAAATAGGAACTTATCACCAAAAATTCAGAAAAGTAGAATTTTAGAATTATAATTATTATATAAAATATTATATAAGCAGAATTCTTTACAATTTTACAAAAAGTCAGATTAGAACTTTAATCTCAAAAATTAACAAAATTCTAAGTAGATTTCTTACATACATATGGATTTTTCTCAAAAAGTCTGGAATAACCACTAATACCAATAATTTGTTTACACGTTTTAATTTATCTATTATAATACTCACTTGTATGCTTTGCTCTTGAGATTACACAGTAATTTTGTGCTCATCTTAAAAACAAACTTGCTGTTTTACATAGTGTTAAGTAAAATCTAAAATGTTTATTTATTTATTTTTCTTCGAATTAAAAAAAAGAGATGGTAATTATCTAAATCTATATTAACTATCATTATCTGTCTAATTTTAAGTTATTGTGTATAGTAAGTATATATGTACTTTTGTTGAAATTATTAATTTCGTTTCTAATTATTTTCAGAAATTTTTCTAAAATGCGTGCTGTTATTGAAAAAGATTATGCTCAGGTAATGAATTTTTACTATTAAAATAAAGAGTTGTAAATTTCTTATAAAGACTATTTTCTGGTATATTCTTTAAAGTAAGACATTGAATTGGTTTTTATAATTGACCATTAAGAAAATTTCTGCAAAACTTTCTTTTCTGACCTTTATTTTTGTATTCCAATCTATATTGTAACTTTCAACTATCTTTTAAATATTTTTTAGAATGTCATTAACCAAAATCTTTTCAGATAACTTTATTAACAGCACATTTTTACAAAAACAACTTTTCATTGATATTGTTGATATTTTTTTTTGTTTGTGTTCTTATTTTCTGATTTATTTATTGACTTCAAGCTAAGTTTGTGTAAGTCTTTGTTGTTCTCTCATATTAAAAAAGTACTTTCCTACTTGTTATTTAATGCCAAAATACTGTTAAACTGCAAAATTTTTGAAGAAGTTCACTTATATTGCTTGCTTTAAGAAATATTTGAATCTGAACAGTTGTATTTTTGTTGAAGGTTTTTGTTCTTTCATAGCTGTTAGCAAGTTCTTTGATAAATAATGTATAGAGTTGTTATTTTGACATAAAGTGATTTAGAACTAGCTCTAAAAAGTTAATAAGTATTTATAATAAATCTGAATTCATTAAGAAAGTGGAAAAGGCAACAGAATGAAGAAAAATATTGTTGATGAAATTGGTAACCATTCAAAAAGTTTGATTTTTGAAAAAAGAATTATGTTTGTTTTGTCTGTTTTCATGTTGAGAAAACATTTAGTGTACAGTTTTTCGATTAAGTAAATTTTAGATAACTTATTGGCTTCACTGTTTAAGGATAACTATATGCTAGGTAAAACTTTATAATAATTATGTACCTTTTAAGAAAGTTAGATCACTTTGAAAATAGGGTCTTACTTTTAAAATTTGTTGTAGTATTTTAGAAGGCCTTTTTTTCATAGCACATTCTTAACTATAAGTCAACACATAAATTTTTTAATTTTTTGAATGTTTCTGATAAAAAGTTATCACAGAAGTGCACTTCTTTTTACTACCTATATTTATTTTGTCCTTGCGATAGCTTTTACACTTCTGCTTTTTGTTGTATTTTAATAATAATTTTTAATAATGTCTTCAATTTTGAAAATGTTTTATAATAATTAAATTCATATTGGTGATTATTTATTCTATTAATTAATCGAAAATATTCTTAATAAGTATTTAAAAAAATTTGTAGTAACATTTTAAATTATAGTATTTTTGAAATTTCTTAATTTATGTTAAATAAGTTCTATTATGAAATTAGAAAAATAGATGGTAGAAATTAACATATCATGGTAAATAATCACAGTAATAAATAAATCAGATTTTATATCTGTTCTTACTTTATACCTTTTCACAAAATTTGTAGTTTGTAATACAAAAACAAATATTAATTTAATTACTTTTTAATTTTGAAATTTAAAAAGTAATCATCAATGTATACATATATATTTCTGATGAAACTATTGTACTTATTGAATATGCTGTAATATTTTTACGTTTTTCTATAACTAAATAAAAATTTTTTCTTCATCATTTCTAATTAATTCTGTCATTAATTGCTACACGTGATTGGATATGATTATTTTAAATTGTTTCATAGGCTCTGCTAAAACTTGCAACATCTCATTTGCAAAAGAAAGGACCAACTGTACCAGATGGAAAGTCAGAGGATGGTGATACTAGCAAGTAAGTTATACAATTGCTTTAAAATTAATTAAAAAGTATTACCCACTTTTAAAGTCGGAATAATACTCATTAGCAAATATATTTTTTTAAACTTATTGGTGTAAAAATATTGCTAGGCAATGTAAAATTTTTTACACTATTGCTTATTGTCCAAATAAAGGAAATAAATTTGTTAATTTACTTTTTGCTTTCAAATTTATTGTCTCTAAATATTTTGAAAGGTGATAAGAAGGAAAGTATAAATTAGTGTACACTTCTTTTCCAACTATTTCTTAAAGATAATTTTGATGTTAAATTTTTTTTTTTTTTTGATTTATCGATTTATTTTTTAATCCACAAATGAAGTTGCACAAGATGAAATTTTCAATGCAGAGTAGGCAATTGTTAGTTATTGGAGTTATTTTTTAGTCCTTTGTTTCCCTTCTTAAAATTACTTTACAATAGTAGTTAAAAATAGTCTTCATGTATGTATTGTGCCAAAAAATATCCTGATTTTAGTTTGAACCACTAAGAAGCCTTTATTATTTAAATTGAAGTTTCATTCTAAAAACAAGTTAACTGTGACAACTATTGTAATTTATATTAGCTAAAAAAAATATTAATCAGAAATTATTTTTCAAACATTTTACATACGCATGAGAAGTTGCTGAATTCTCAGCACTGACATATTTATAACCATTGAATTTTAATATGCTCATCTGATTATATTGTGTGTTTATTTAGCACTGTTTATGGTGTTTGGAAATCAATGCTTGATGAAACTGAGAAAATTGCAAAAGCTAGGTTAGCTGCAGCTGAAGTATATCAACAACAGGTTTCTGAAGGTGCTAAATCATTAAGGCTGTATAAACTACAAGTAGCTAAAAAGGTATAATATTTTCTTTTTATAATTTTTAAAATATAAATTATAGTTTTGTGACTTATTATTTACAATTTTTGTTTTTAAACTTTGTTTCGTTTCCCCCTTATCTTTCTGTAAAATTATGTTTAAAATCAAACTTTTATAAGTAGCAGTATCTTTGTCGATTATTGTTTTCAGTTTGTTTGTAAAAAGAATTTTACACAAACCTGAAAATGGTATAGTTTATTAATATTACAGATAATCTTATTTTGTTTTAATGAATTAGTATGTTAAAAAAGATTTTACTTCCATAGTGTTAGAAGGTTGTGATAAGGAAAAAAATTAAGTCTCTAAATTATAATAAATATATTCCTTTAAAAAATATTAAACCTCTTCCAAAACTGAAACTTGAATACGATGTAACACTGTTCTGAAATTCATTTTTGTATCTTAAGTACCATTTATGCGTTTTACAATTCATTATACTTTAATTATGGGTTGGCTTATTATTTTAGTTTCAATACTAAAAGATTTAATTTTTAAATTATTTAAATAATAAATTTTATTTTTAACTTCCGTCTTATACTAACTTTTTCTAAGTATTTATTTTCAAATGTTGTTTGATAGCAGGGCATTGCATATAACTTTCCAATTTTTTTACTTTATCGTATCGTTGTAGTGGCTGTAGTCATTCAGAGAAATTCTTTTAAAATGCTTTGAATTTATTTTTTATATTCCAAATAGTATTTTAGATGTTATTTATAACCAGTGTTGAACAACTGACCCAATTCTAAGTTAACAAATTTGAATGAACTCCATAACCTTGTAATTTTGAACCCAACCCAGAAGACAAGGGAGCTTCTGGATCAATTATTGGTACAAACTAGCCTTTGTACCATTTATGCTTTGTGGATGACTTTTTGATGGAACTAATTTGCATTACATTGAGAAGAAACCACTAAAACCACCTACAGTTAGTCCGACGATAAGGGGATTCTAACCCATGATCTGTCCACCTCTAAGAATATTTTTAGTTAGTATTGTGACAGGTGCGAGCCAAGAGCAGAATTCATATCAACTAGTCATCACTGGGATTCAAACCTAGGTCCCCTCATTGGGAGGTGAGCGCTTTATCCCCAAAACCACCGTGGTTCTCCGAATAGTATTTGTATATTGATTTTGTATTCATAAAAAAAGCAGTGTTGGACTTATTTCATTAAAACTCATAAAATATTATTTTAAGCATGGCTCATGACTTACTGTGATCTATTGGTCTGAGGCTTTTAGAATTTCACAGGGATCATTATAAAATAGTAATGATATAATAATCCAATGTTATGATATGATAATGTAAACTGAAATACTTCATATCAGTAAAACAATTTAAAGAGTGTTAATCGTCTGTGACTATTAAAATTTCACAGGACACTTCATTAAATAGTTATGATATATGGTATAATAATATAAATCAAAACCTTGTATGTTGATTGCTGGTCCTCTGGACCAGCAGTGTAGAATTTTTGATGCAATTGGTTTTAGTTTGTTTGATTTCTAATTTCACATTTGAGTATGTGTTTCTATCACTAAATAACTTTTATTTCATCAGAATCATTGCATTATGCATTCTCTGAATTCTAAATTTTCATTTAAATTTCTTAAAAAAAATAACAACCTAATAGGATAAATGGAACAGTGAAAATGTGTATGGACTAGTAATATCTTTTATTTACTGACCCTTCAGACCAGTGACTTAATTTTCTTAATTTCTCTTGTTATAGCACTTAATTTTTATCTTGTTTATAAAATATTTTGTTAAAACATTAAAAATTTGTCTTTTGCTACCAGTTAATTTTCCTTAAATGTAATGTATAATTATTTTTGTTGCATGCAAATTTAAAAGAGGGAATGAATTTGTCATTTGAAAGATCACAAGTATAATTTTTGAATTGAATTTCCTATGAGTATAATTTTACATAAAACATTGGAGATCAAATTAATTTAAATTATTCATTACAATTACTTTTAACTGAAAATATCTCCTTCATAAAACTATTTATCTGTTTTAATTATTTAGATTATTATTTTTGAGATCTTGTGTTTTAATATTTTCTTTATATTGATGGTTATTTAGAGACACAATCAAAATTTGGTCAAAAATTATTGTCTGGCATTTAAAAATTTTACGAAATTTCATCAAGTGTAAAATATACTTATATTTTTCTAGTGTTTTGAAAACTTGCGTAAAATGCATGAGGAGATTCAAACTTGCATAGTTGAAATAGATAAAACTAAAAAGCTTTATTTTGAAGAAGAACACATGGCACACGATGCAAGAGAAAAAGCTCATGATGCTGATGAAAAGTAAGCTTTTATGAATATTTGCATGTTTGAATGACATAAATGTAAGAGAAATGTTAATGAGATATATGTTTATGAGAGAAATAATTTGTCAACATTAGTTTAAATTATTTAATATTCATTATTTATTCGTAAGTTTTTTATACCTATGTCTTGCCATGGATCAGACTTAGAAGAAAAAAAGGACGAATATTTCAGTCTATATCATCCTTACAAAAAAATAGTGCAAAGGTATGAAATTTGCTGTATTGTATGTAAAAACACCCTTATGCAATTGATATTCTTTTCTGTGTTTCGAACTTTTTGAAACACTTGAAGTTCAAAGCAATTTTTTTTAGAGTTCAACACATATGTTTAAGTAAAACCTAAGGTGAAGGATAACACATTTTAATTTGGTTGCATATAATATTTGCTTTCTTCACCTAATAAAAAAAATTATCAAATAATATTAGTGGTGATTTAGGAGAGAAATTATTACTTGAAAATTTTTTCTGTCTGTCTGATTGTCTGTGTTTTCTGTAATCTATTATTTAAGTTTTATTTGAACTCTTAAAATTTTTAATTTCAAAACTGTTTTGTTAAAATTAAAGTTAATGCTAAATTTTTTGTTTTGTTTCTACGTTCATTCCAGATGAGTTTTCGATTTACTTTATTATAAATTAATCTCCCTTTCTTCTCATAAATTCTCTCCACCTTTAAAGACAAGTGTGTCTGAGCTGTGATTGATCAAAAATGATCCAATCAAGCTTAATTTTTAAATGATTAATTTAATTTATTGAAGAAAAATCAATTCAGTTGTCTTAAGAAACTGGTTTTTAGTTCAATCAAATTTTGTTTCACTTGCGTAAGAGTAAATATATAGGATTTTGTCAAATATTTATACATTTTAGATTTTAGTTTTATAATGATGGTGAATACCTGCGTTTCAATTTGTATTTTCTGTATCATTAGCTCAGTTTAAGTATAAATATATATATATCACCTTTTTTTTTTGTTTAGGTTAAATGATGAATTTTTTCTTTCACATCATGTTTTTTTGTTTGCATTCTTAGAAACTTTTTACACTTAAAATTTAAATCATTTACTTGATGCCAAGTGTAGTCTTCAACGCTATATTGTTTAAAAAGTAGACTATTTTTTAATACTTAAAATGTATAACTGTTTTTGAACAAGCTATTTAAAATTTATTTATGAGAATTTAGCCCTTTGATTTCTGGTATGAATTTAATAGACCCAATTAATTGAATTATGTAACTTTAATAAAAAAAAAAATCTAACTACAATTTATGCTTATTTTAAGCTTTGTATCTCCTGCATGAATAAAAATTTAAAATTTTAAAAATTTTAACATCTGTTTCAAAATGGCAGTTTTCTTTTTAAAAAAATTTGGCACAAATTTTATATTTATATATATTTCCTTAGCTGTTCTAGCTTAAGAATGAAATTATAAAAATTAGAAATGTACTTCATTATATAGTGATAGACATTATGAAAATGTTTAATATTGTTATATTTTCTAATATATTAATCATTTAATATTTTTCAGTTTTCATTTCGTCGTGAGGCATGTGACATTCAAGCTACTAAAGCTCGTAATGATTATGTTTTAGCCTTAATTGCAGCTAATGCTCATCAGACTAAATATTATGAAAATGATCTTCCTGATTTAGTACAGGTATTGTTCTTGATTTTTTCGTTTTTTCATAATAAATGATTATATTTTGTGTAATTCGATTTTTTTTTTATCTGTTGCATTAAACAAAAATATTAGTGATTAAAAAAATGGGTTCTCAAAGAAACAATGCCAAACAATTTCATAGAATTTCATTAATAGTGAAAACGTGTAAAGTAACTGGATGAGAAAAAAAATGCCCACTTATAGAATCACTGCCCTGCTGTATGAAAAACTTTGAATGGAAAAATAAATAAAACCATTACACAAAACATCCTTTACAAAAAAATTATGTTTTTGAGATAGAAATGAGGTTTTTTTAAAAGTGCTTTTGATGTTTAAGTGAGTTATATTTGCTCAGGTTGAAATTAGACATAGTTTTACTTCATATCTACCTGAGGTGTTTTATTTTTATACTTATTTGAAATTGTTAATTTTCTACTTTAAGTTAATAATATAACACCTTAGGATATAATTTTCCGACCTAAAGGTGATAAATAATAACTTACAATAGGTGTAAAGATAATTAAAGCACCTCAGGTAGAAATGAGGCTATGTCATGCATCTATTAGAACCTTGCTACTCTCTTTAGGTAGATAATTAACATCTTCTATGAAGTATAAAATAAAATACTTAAAGTTAATAATTAACAATATCTGAAAAGTGTGTGAATAAAACACCTCAGGTAGAAATGAGGTTACAGTGGGCACCTATAACAACCTTGTCAAACATGTTAAATAGATAATTAACAGCATTTATCTAATATAAAATTAAACACCACATAGAATACCCAAGGTGTTAAATATTTCAAAAAAGTTGTTTATTATCTCTTTCATATGTTTTGACCAAGGTTGTAGTGAGTGGAAATCACAACCTCACAGCTATTGAAGTGCTTTCTTTTTATAACCTAAGGTGATTATTTTTTAACCCTGCATGTCATATTTGAACTGGAAGCTATCATTTATTGTCTCAAAAGAAATGCACTATATTTTTAAAAAAAAAATAAATTATGTTTAGGCATGAAACATATGTTAGAATTTCATGAATTTGTCCAGTTCCATTATGTTGGTAGTTCAACTTTCCATTTTGATCTTGCTTAATCGAACCTATAAATGACAATGTAAAAGTAGATAGGAAATTTGTACAAATTAACTTAATTTGTGAAGCATGTTAATTCAAATAAAATAATTAAGTAGTTAGAAATCTAAAGATATTGACACAATATTTTATAATTTAAATTGTGACCCCCAATGATTAAAACATTAACTTTTCAAACATTAATATACTCTTACAAGAACTTGTATTAAAAATAAAAATGAAAGACTTGAATAGAATTTTTTTTTTTTAATTTCCTAAAAATATATGAAACATTAAATTATGAAGTCCATATAATATAAGTCTTAAATCGCCAATATAAATCTTAAGTTTTAATGTGATTACAAAAAAGTTTTGAGATCTGCTCTAAGGTGGGATAAGGTCCAGACTATTAATATTAAAATATATTTGGTGGTGAGGGGGTAACATTTCAAGTACATCCTCTTTTTCCATGTATACTCAAAAACATAATAATTGTGATGTGCAGTAACATGTAGTTATGACATAACTCAAAATGATCATATCAAGAAAGGCAAAGAGTTAATCATTATACTAGTCATTTTTTCTTTCTTTCTCTTATTTTATTTATTCATTTTTAATGTACCTGCAGATCTAATCACGGCAGGAAAATGTGAAGATTTTATAAAAGTTATTGACTAAACAAACCGTTTAAAATCATAGAAATCAAACTTAACGTTGTATGCGACAAGGATCTAGAAAATTAATTTAATTCAACAATTAAGCAAGCATTTTTAATAAAGGTTAGAGTTTTTTTTTCATTCTTCAAGAAGAGGTTGATGGGCTACAGTGTGATTTGGGAAGGGCAGCAGACAATGCGATATAAGAAGACTTTGAAATTTATTTTTTAAAAGTTACATAATTTAAGATATTAAATGTTTGATTGTTAAAACTGTACTAGAGCTGTCGGTGACGTTTAGTGGGTTTCTAATAAGACACCTAGACACGATGTGTAATCCGATCAGGCATTCACTCTTTATCACATCGCTGGAAATGACTGCAAATGACCTTTTCGACATGGTTAAAATGGCTTATATTTATTCTGAAAGTTTAAAATTTATTTTTGAAAAAGTACTGCGTGTTGTGTTTTTATTATAAAATTAGCACTACCTATGTTAATGGGTTTCCTTGAATGATAATTGATATGAAGTAAATGGGCGACATATATTGTTAATTGCTTTTTAGCCTTTTAGATATCCTTTTCTGTTGTAAAACTTTCATACATGATTTTTAAGCCACTAAGAATGACATTCGATTTCAGCGTAATCATGCACGTTGAAATAATCAAATTATGTGGGGCAATACTAGTTAAATTTTAACATATTGCATAGCCCACTAATTTCAACAAAATTTAATGCACGCTTAATAAATCCATATAAATATTTATGGGCTCAAATTAGAAAAATATCTAGTATCTAGACTGACATGTAGCAAGTCATACTAATCAATAAGAGTTTACTACTTTATGACTTAGTATCACACAAGATGCAAAAAACTCGCGAATTTTGGAGATGTTCTGCGAATTCAGAGATATATTTAACCGTGAAAACACTCATCAATCAAGTTTTTGTTTGAACCTCCAAATTCGAGTGCAATATTTTTTTGCATCCCCCATTATTCATAAATTAAAAATTTCCTTGCATGGGTTGATGCAAACGACACTTCTCCACTGTTCCTTACCAGGGCATATGAAGAAAAGCTAGTTAAGTTTTTACACTTTGCAAAGCCAGGCGGTTTCAAATTCTCTTTCAACTACATTAGTAATTTAAAGTAAAAAAAAAAAAAATTAGTTCTAGGAAACCTAGTTTAGCCATGTAGTAACCATGAAGTTTAAAATGCTGAATTTCTTTTTCAAAATTTCAAAATGCAAACAAATTATGGGAGTATTTCTAAGGATTATGCAGTTGAGAAGTTATCCTGCATAAATTTGTTTACATTTTGATATTTTAAAATTATTTTTTTAAGCATTTGATACTTCATGGTTTATCCTGGGTTTATACAATCTCACTTTTCCCAAAACTGTAAATTTAAAAATACCAATGGATGTGAATATAGATAAAAATAATTAGGATGTGGATTCACACCTTAAAATTCATACAAATCAGAACGGCTTACCACGTTATGATTTGAAAGAAAAAAATTATCCTTACAAGGGCTGATGTGAGTGACGCTTCTGTACTTCATTGCTTGAAGTGCAGCAAAAATTATCCTTAATAATTTCAAAACAGCCAAATATGGGGGGTTGCTGTGAAGTAGATTTGAATCAACCTCAAAACAACCTTAAGTTTGAAAGAAAAACTTAGTACACATCAATACCTTTAGTTGAAATCTGGTGAAATTATTCACACCTCAAATGCACTTCATTTGCTTGAAGTGTAAAAAAAAAAATAACCTGTACATCTTCAAAACAACCACCTTCAGCTAGCTGCTTCAAAGAAGATTTAAATCAACCTCAAAACAACTTGAGGTGGAAAAAAATAACCTGTACACCTTCAAAACAATCTCCCTCAGAAGGTTGATATGAAGTGCTTTTAACTTAACATCAAAACAATTTAAAGTAAAAAACAATCTTTTCTTCTTCAAACAACCACCCTCAACAGGTTGCTACAAAGTTAATTTCAATCAACCTCAAAACAATCTTAAGGGAAAAGAAAACAACTTCACACACCTTCATTATGCACCTTGTGAGGTATATTCCTTACGGTTGTTTTTGTTGCTAACTTCAAATCAGCCTTAAAACATCAAAATAACCTCATGTAAACATCAAAAACACTGTAAATTTTTGTAAGGGAACTTTTTGAAACAAATATTGTCACATAGTGCAGTATATAATAGAAGAATACAATAATAGAATAAAGAAAAAAAAAAGCCTTCATTTGAGAACACACTGGTTTGCTGTTTGATAATACTTTATTAATAGAAAAATGCATGAATTAATGTAGTGAAAATATTCTCTCTTTTACAAAATGGTGCAAAGTTTCTTATAGTTTCATTAATTGAAAAATGTATTAATAAAAAGGAATTAAAAATAGTATTCTACTGATTATAGAAATAGAAAAACATCTGCAATTGGTAAGATTTTTTTTAAAAAAAAGTAGTTATAAATTGTAAGTGTCTTTGGTGGTAGATAGTCGCTCACACAGTTTCAGATTAATGCCTACAGCTTGTCTAAGTTTAATCGGCAGTGAGCAGTCAAACATTGACAAAATTGGCCTGGTCATACGATTGGTCTCAAAACTGTGGAGCCTTAACCTTCATGATCAACTCAGATGACAAAAGCCTGCTTAGAAGTGTTTTTTTTTCTTTCTTTTTTTTCTCTTTTTTTTTAAGCCGAAATTTTCATAAATATTTAGTAAATTACTTTCATGAAATTATATTTCAGAGTATTTAAATTTTTATGTGATTAATTTTTACCAAGTTCATAGAATTTTGAAACTTCAGATAAAAAGTATTTATCTGAAAGGAAGTGACTAGGGAAAAAAAAAAACTTGCTTAGAATGATCCCAATTGCTTTCCCATCATTTTCGATCACTAAGGCTGCAGTTCAACTGACTCCTAAAGAAAGGGTAACCCCCAATGTAAAAGGAATCCTCGCCAAGTGCACACTTAGTCACGCTTTTATCAATGTTTTGGCGCTCTTCTGTTTTCTTACATTTTTGGAACCTGCTCTCCGTATCAACATTTGCATCTTATTTACTCAATTAGTACAAACACAAATGTAAAAATATTTTATTACTTTTATTACTAGACATAAACTTTAATCTCGATTTTATATTGATACTTGAAAATTGAATGAAAAGGGTTGTTTATAAATTATTTTATTATATTTCTTGTTACTTCAATTTTTAGTTAGTTTAATATAGAAAGTAACTTTTTATACTTTTAGTATGCTGATTGTGATATTTATGATAAAGTTAAAGAATATATTCTGCTGATTGCTCGCACAGAATTGTTAACATGTGCAGCTTGCCAATCTTCATTTAGCATAGTTCAAGAACAAGCTAATAAGGTAATTACATTACTGTCATTTTATTATTACGTGTGGAATTTTTAAAAATAGATCTTTTTTACATATTTAAAAGAAATATTTGTCTTTCTCATATTTATTTTTATTAGCAGCAAATGTTAATCAATCTTCCTTTAGACTGTTTATTGCAAACTTACATAAAATCTAAAAAAGAAAATGGTATGAATAATTGAATCTAAAATTATAAGGTGATGCTATTAAAGATTAATTATAACATTTATTAGTTAGAAAATTTGTTTCCATTGGTAAAATTATCTTACAAAACTACGATTTCTACATTAACATATTTGCTGTATATGAATGTTTTATTTTGTATGATTCAACTCAAATACAATAAAAAAATTTTTTTGTTCATGATATTACTAAGAGTGATGGCAAATAATTGATAAAAACTGACTACCATAAATAATTATTTATTATATTTAAATGTTATTTTATTAAATGTTTTTCTTTTTTAATATTTTTATTATTCTTGCAATTGGTAATAAAAATTAAAAGATATCTCTAATATCTACTACCATTTATTATAGAATTAGGGAATATTATGGTATAGGTATGTGTATTATATTTCATATAAAGCACTACATTTAAGCTTTTAGGTGTCATATGTACCTATTTGTGTCTTGAAGAGTGGGTGACTTTTTTCTTATTGGTTTGTTTTAACTGTGAATTCTTACATTTTATTCATTTTTACCTAAACAAATGTATCTAATGCATAATTTAAGAAATATTTTATTTCATGCTTTGTGGTAATGCTAAATATTCAATTGCTTTATTTCTTTATTTAAGATTGAAAAGGTATTATAGTTTTTACTGGCATTTCTACTTTTTAGGCATCTAAACAGTATACAATGGAGAGTTTTTTCCATGATAATTCTGTTTTATCCCAGAAAATTTTATATGATTTTGAACCTTGTGATAATGATAAAGTAAGTACTATAGTTTTTGTAAAAAATTATATAAATATGTATGCCATCTTGTATAGTTAAAATGTATAATTTTGTAGCCTTTAGGAAAATCATTTTTTTAAACTAGTGTGTATGAGAGTGTATAAAATTAAGCTTAGAGTGAATGAGAGAGTATAGTGTTCATTTTAGCAGTATAGGAAAAAGTTAAAAGATATAGTGTATGAAACATGACATTTTTTGCTTCATAAATTTTCATTACATAATTAATGGTTTTATATTTTAATTATGTAAGATTTAAAAATGTTTTTTTTTCGATGTTTCTAATTGACATAATTTTTTATTTCCTGGCTTTTGTGTGATATTTATTCTTTTGATGCAGACAACCTTATTTTAACTAAAGTTAATATTTTAAATTTTATGTTTTATCTCAGATTTTAAATACAGTTATCACTGGCTGAAAAAGCTAGAGACAAGCTACTAAAAATATATTTATATGTAAAATTGGATTATAATAATCAACATGTTCTCTTTTTTAAGAGGGCAGCAATACTAAAATAAAACTTTTGATAGGGACTATTTCTGAAATTCGTTTGGTTAAAAGTTAAAGGAACAACCATTTTTTTTCTGCATTGATCAAAGAAATATTCTGCAAATATATATAGTAATTTTAATGTGTTTAACACTCTTATTATTCACAAGTGTTATTCTTAACATTAATCACTATTTAAGAACATAACACAAGTTAGCACTTATTAGTTTGAGCTACACTAATAAGGCCACAAACAGACACCAGAAGAATTTTAAACGTATGAATGCTGAATAAATATATAATGTTGAATAATGTTAATGCCAATTAAGAAAGCATAGGAATAAATTTAAACAAATAGCATTGCTTATAGAATGTTCTCATAAACAATTTACTGAGAGCTATCTCGATTACCCTTCAATGTCTTCTAATATAAATCCATTCAAAAGTTAGGGGCTGATACTTAACATATCAAGGTCTTCAAAACATGGTGCTAAGGAAAAGGTGATTGCTCCGGGCCTAAGAAGCATCTTTTAATTATATATTTGATCACTTTATTTCAAAAAACGTTATTAATTTTCTTTTGGAATTTAACTTTTATGTATTAAGATAAGGAATAAAAAAAAAGCCTTTCAACATTTAGATAAATTTGGTATTTTCTAGATTTAACAAAATTTCTTTGAAGGTGTACTCGAAGGTTTTGAAATTTAAATTAGTTTTAACTGTATTTGCATGTGCCTGTTAATTATATTGCTGAATAAAAAGAATTTTAATGCTGACTTTTTATATTTCTATTTTTCATTTTTCTTCTTAAAAACTAATAACAGAAATTTAAATTTCAAACAAACATTTTTGTAATGTAATTCAATCTTTGAATTAGCGAAGAGTTGATTCATTTGTTTTTGATGCATGCATGCATATGTATTTTTAGATCAATAAACTATCCATAGAACATAATGCAGCTCTATGCCTTAGTAAAGAGGCACGAAGATGGATTAGTTGTGTTACAAAAGAAGTTAGAGTTATAAAAGACAGCAAAGAAGAATTGAGAAAACTTCTTGCCCAAGCGGGTGACAAGGTAAGTTCTCTTTTGTCTAGCAAGCTTTGGTAGTACTTTGTTAGTCTACTGCTCATGGAATTTTTTCATTTATTTAGTGCAAAGTTCTTATCTATACTCATGCTGCTAATTTACCAGAATATTTTTTCTTAATTTATATTTAAATATTCTTATAGACAATATTTAAATATAGAATATTTTTAAATATTCTTATATTTAAATATTTTTTAAATCTGTATGTATGTTTTTTATAAAGTTTTAAGGAAATTTTATAAATGATTGATTTTTTTAATATTTGTGTAATTTGTGTTGCATAATTTCATATTTTGTTTTTCCAGCCTCCTTATACCTTGCAAAGTGATCAGATTGGACCACAAGCAGAACTGGAAGCAAGGATTGATGAATTACGTCAAATCATACGAAAATCTCAAGTAAGACCATGTGATTTATCATATAGTTGACTAATGCTAGTTGGAATATCGAATCACCAAATATTGAAAAGTTTTTTTCTTTTTAAGAATTGTTCTATTTTGTTTATTTTCCAATTTATTTACATACTTGAAAGTTTCTGACACAAAATATTGTTTTTGACACAGTTGTAAGATTTCTAAAATCTTACTTGAAAATCATGTTTTTTGTAATAATTTTTACAAACTATGTGCACAAGATTTAAAAGAAAATATTGATAAATAAATAATAGCCTCTTTTTTTTATATTTTTTTTCATTCACTTTATAAAATGTGTGAATGTCTACTAATAAGATATTAAGTTTATGGTTTGATAAAGATTAATATAATTTATTGATCCTTTCTTTAAAAGTCGTTTATTGGGAAATGATTAACGGGCTTTATTTTTTATCAAGTTATAAGTTTTGTCAGTTAAACATCGGATATGTTAATTTTTTTAGCCTTTTTTCTTTCATTTAAAAATTATGAGTATAATGAGCTTTTTATAACTTTGTTTTCAGTATTTTGAGATAATTCAAGCTCTTTTTTTTCAAATGTTATTTACTATCAGTGAAATCTTAATTTTCTTTAGTACTAAGGGAAAAGAACTTTTTATTAATAATTTGTTTAGTGGTTGGTACTATTAAATTTTGTTTTCATACTTATAAGTTTAATTTTAGTTATTACTGTTTGTTAGAGACTATGGTGATTTAGTATATTGTTTACAAACTTGGAAGGAATGTAGAACATGTAATAAGAATTTAAAACTTAACAGCATTCTATGGCCAGAAATGTCATTGCACTCAACCAAAGGTGTTGGCTATTTGTGCAATTTTAAACTGTTCTTTTCTTTATTGGAATAAAAAGATTTGGTGGCTAACTTAACAAGCTCACCTAGTAGATCACAAAATTCTTAAATTATGATAAAACAACAACAATTTGTTTCTGAGCCCCTATGAATACAATTTGCAACAATTTTTAGAAAATATAAATGTAACATTAAATTACTTTCGATAAATAAAAGCTTTACTTTAAAAACTTTTGAAGCGGAAGTTCTTGATGGGGAAATGCGGCTTGTGGTGTATGTTGGCACTTTTGGGTACAGGCAGTTGTGTAATTCTCGATTTTTATAAAGTACCCTGCCTCCCCTCCAGGTTTGAAATAGCTGTATATCACTCTGAACAATAAATATAAACAAATTTCTGTTATATATGTTGTAAGAAGTTTTCTTTTAATAATCTAGCCTAAATAACCTATTTGAACATGAGTTCCATTTTTTTTCTTAACTTTAGCCTTTTTCACGTGTAATTCAATTGGTAGTTGAACATAAAACTGAACTTTTCTTTCAAATTTTCCCACATTATCCATGCTTAGAAGATTTTACAGAAATGGGATTGTCTTATACAATATTTTAAATACTTCATCTTTAAATTTAGTTTAAATAATAATTCTTAGTAATTTTATTCTTTAATATATTTATTAGCTATATAAATATTATAATTTTAATAGCATTTGTATTAATATAAATTTTAGTTGATATTATATACCAAGATATTTTTTAGACTAGCAAGAAAAAAGCGGAAGCTCGTCTAGAAGCTATGAAAGAAGCTGGTGGTATGTATTTTAAGGTTATTTAAAATGTTGAACTAATATGAACATATTTACAGGGTATCTTCGCATTTGGAAAGTCATGCAAAATCATGGAAAGTCATGGATTTCAACATTGCACAAAATTTGTCATGAAATGTCATAATTTCAACTATTTTTTCAAAAAAAAAAAAAAAAAAATGGAATGGCATGGATTTAAGTTGCCGAAAATCTAATTTTTAAAATGAAATTTACAAATTAGATTTCTATTCTACAATTGTTACTTCCATTTACAAATTAGATTAACATTTCCTTCCCAATTTCACAGTGCTCTGATGTTCCAAACATCTGAATTTGTTACAAAATCCCCACTTATAATCATATTCTAATAAAATAATAAATCTTTTTATCCTGTTCTTTAAAATTTTGTGGAGAAAATAGTATTTTCGGTAAGTCACGAAAAATTCTTTGAATTATTTATGAAAAGTCATGGATTTTAAAATCTAAATTGTAGCAGATACCCTGTATTTATTAACAGATTGTTTAATAGCTGAAATGAAACTTTTTATTATTACTATTTTATTTAATTTTATTTCTGTTTTTTATAACTTCATTTAATTTCCATAAACTTAATTTACTAGTGACTTTGAAACTAATATGAATTTTATTTATACAATCAGTTATTTATTAAATTTAATGAATCAGTTTCGCTAAAAAATATTACTATCTCTAAAATAACAAAATTTATGCAGTGTTTCAAACAGCTAAAAGGCAGATGTGCTGAATTTTCTTAATTTATTTATTAGATGTAATTTCTTTGTCTCATTTTGCCCACAGTTTATTTGAGCTGTATGACTATTACTTTTTGTTAATTAATTAATTTGCAATTTGGTCTTGATGTAATTTAGATATTTTATAGTTGAAGAGAAGTAAAAAATTTCTAGCTTAATTTTTTTTTAATGTTTTTTTAAAAGTAGTTTTCATTGTTAACATTTCCACTTTTTGAGTGTTAAATATTTAAAGGAATGTTTTACAAATGATTTATGATTTTTAATTTGTTACTTAAAATCAATATCAGTAATATATATTATTTCATTATTGAAAATAATAACGCTAAGATTCATTTAATATTTATAAGGTATCAGACAAAGTGAACCGAAATAAAATGGTGTTTACCTCAAAGCAAAATTTTATTTGTTGTTAGCATCTGTTAAACATGATTTAAATTTTTTTTGTAATATATTTGAAATTTCTTTTATATAGTACTGTTTTTAAATAGTACTTTTGTCATTGACCAAAGCAAGGATTAAGGATTAGTGAATTAAGGCGTGATTAATTAGAAAGCGATTTTGAAATTAAGAAAAGTGGCAACAGAATGATAATTAAGTATGGAAACTAATGTGCAAATGATGAATTTTTATTAGTCGTAAAGTTTTATTCATTATCATGATTTATTTCAAAACATTAACTACTACAACTAAAAGACAGTTTTTTTTTTATCAGCTGTGAAAAAATAGTCTTGTTTCATTTTTAAGAACATTTTAAAACTCTGTTTTCTTGAAATAAGATTTTGAATTAATTAAATTTATATTAACTGTTAGTTCTTGCTTACAATTGTACTTTATTACAATTATGTTTATATATTTTATTTAGTTAATATGGAAGAATGGGTAAGAAGTTCTGAAAGTGATTCAGTGAGTGTCACAGAAGCTCCTGCAGAGATCTTTAGTCGATCGGGTACAGTTACTTCACGAAGTAGCCGCCAAAGTTATCAATCAGAAGTAAGATTATGTGATTAAAGTCTTTTTTATGTTAATATTGTGCTTAAGTAAGTTCTAAGTATCTAATAAACAAATAATAAAACAATGCATCATAATGAATAAAGCATTTACTATTGATCAATCTTTTGAATACAGAGCTTTTTATTTTGCGTGACATTTTGGTGTATCTGTTGTACTGACAGTGTAAAAAAATTCATGTAAAACATGACAAAAATTTGCATGTTTGAATAAATATTGCTAAGATCATTTCAATGTTGTTGACATATGCCTGTTTAGGCAGAGAGGTGCGATTGTTCTTGTTTTCCACTAGTGCCATCTATGGCCAAGATTTAGACTTCTGTCGCACCCATACGTACATCCGTTTATAGGGCGGGCCCATTCATACATCCATTCATTCATCAACATATTGTAATTTTGACCTGAATCAGAGACAATCCACCTCCAATCCAGTACCCTCAGAGATATTGCTTTGTTATGGTAACATGGAGGTCTTCGCGAGTCAGCAGATTTAACATGCATCAGTCACCACTTTGGCTGGCGGGATTCAAACCCACGACATGGGCCCAGCGCCCTACCAACCAGGGTATCCCAGCCTTTGAGCATTTCAATATTTAAGATATTTGAACAGTTTCTAAAGTTGTATAGTTTGTTAAAAAAAAACGATTGCAAGTCTTTAAAAGGAAATGCAAGTCATGTGACTGTGTTTTCTACATTAATGGTCTTTCTATAGGAAAAATGCAAATTTCTGGACTCAATCTCAAACTTAATAACTTACTTTTACTATTTTAATAATGCATTTTAAGTGGTTTTTATGTATTGAACTGGAAAAAAACATTTTGTGATAATTAAAATAACTCTTTTTATGACAAAATACAGCCATGTATCAAAAATTTTTAGTCAGATATATCATGTAAAAATAATAAATAAATATGTATTAATATTTGTTCATAGCAGTTTAAGATATTTTTGTCAAATAATTGCATATTTATCATGCAGTTAGCTTGTGCCACTAAAAATGTGAGACCTACTGAAACATTATTTTTAGTGAAATTATGAAAAGTGTATTAAAATGTTTATATTAATGCAATTATTCTGTCACAATTCTATATATATATTTTTTTGACTTTGTAAAACTTTTTTCTTTAATTAGTTACCTCTAAAATATTGATTTAAAGCAATGTTGTTTTCATAGGGTTTTGATGGCAGTGTTGAAGTGAATGATGCTGCTTTCTATGACAGTGACACAGCAGAGCCTGCAAATGCTTCTATGGAGGCAGAAATCGAAGCACCTTACATGCCTGATCTAACTTCCGCTGTTGATGTTGTAGCAGCCGTGCAAGAGGCTTGGGATGCTGCAGCAGAAACTGAAGAGATTGAAGAGCCTGAACCAGAACCACTTTCAGCAAAGGAGAGTCTTGTGAATGGAGAGGTTTCTGCTCCAGCTCCTGGTCAAAGATGTGTTGCATTGTTTTCGTATGAGGTAAATTGTTTGCTTATTTTTATCTATTGAAAATTTGTTTTTTTTTATATAAAATTTACTTTGTTCAGATAATACATTACTTAAGTTTTGTGTCCTCCTTCAAAATATTATTTAATTAATCATTAAAAGTCTTATTCTGTTAAACTAACAATTGGTTACAAAGCTTGAGAAAAAAGTAAAGAAAGGTTTTATTTAAAATTAAAGTTTTCAAAATAAATTTGCATTCTACTTTTATTGGTTTTGTTTTCTCCTTCAAAAGTATTACTTATAAAGTCTTTCTGTACTAACTAATAATCAGTTACACAGCACATTAAAAAATAAAGTAGACATTATATTTAAAATAAGTTTTTAAAATTTATTTGCATTTTACTTTTGATGCTTTTGTGTCATCCTTCAGAAATTTTACTCGTTTATTAAAAGTCTTCCTTAATTGGAATCATAATTTGTAACACAACACACTAAACAATAAAGTGGAAAATATATTTAAAATAAGTTTGAAATTTCACTTGCAAAGTTTTGAAAAATTGAATAGTAAATATTTTAGTTCATCAGACTATTTCCTCTGTACAAATGCAATGATTAAAAGAAATTAGTTGATAAATGCTGTAATTTACAATAACAATTTTGAGTTATTGTGAAAAACAAGATTTTCCTAATCGATCAGCCATGCCCAAAATAAAATGAGAAAGAGGAAACTTTATATTTTTTTACTTCATTAATACAAAAGATATTAATTTAAAAAACATTGAATTTAATATTAATTTTTTGTTCTCTAAATTTTCTTCGTCTTGGAACTAAGTTAAAAAATTTTAATTTTGTTCTCAGATTAATTTTTTTGAGGGACAAAACTTAATATCATTAATTTGATCTAATACTAAATTTTATTTTGAAATAAATTTCCTAAATTAAATTTTATCATAGGTAGGATTAAATAAAACATCTTTCTTTCTCGAATTCTTCAAATACTGCTTACAAAACAGTATAAGGGAAGTAGAAGGAAGTAACAGTATAAGGAAAAAGGTTACTCCTACTTAAACAGAGATGATTCCCCTAATGAAGCTCGATGGCTTAGTGGTAGCACGTCACGCTCCAGTGCCACAGGTCCTGTGTTTGATCCTCTGGCTGGGCAAGGCTGAGTCAGCCTTTCATCCCTTCAGTGGGTCGATAAATGAGTACCAAGCATGCTTGAGAACTAAACACTGGGGGTTTCGCATTTGGCTGACCACCTAACCGTAACATCTGCCCCTGCACCCCAGAGCCCAAGGTCAAGAAAACTGAGATGGGCACAGTAGGCCTTGACCCTCTATAGGCTGTCGCACCACTGAGTTTAGTTTAGATTCCCCTAATGTTGAAATTGTCTTTATTCTGTTTTCAAACTAAATATTTTATTCTTACGTAGATTTATTTTGATAACTATTAAATATGTACAAATGGAATAATTTTTATTTCTAGTTTTTTTTCTTCTTTTCTTTAGTATGTGTCTAAGGAGATCTCTTTGAAATTCTACCATAGCCACAATTAAAAAAAACCTCATTAAAGAAATTTCTGTGATATTTGTATTGAATCTTCACATACCTTCTCAAAGTTTTAACATTAGTTATTGAAATTAAAAATGGGCTTTTTTCTCAGATAATTGCTTCGTATACAATTAATTTGAAACATTAGTTTGTTTTGAATACTAACACAATTTGTGCATTTCTGTTTGCAGGCAACGAATTCTGATGAACTTAGTTTTGTTGAACAAGAAGAGTTAGAATTAATTAATGATGGAGATGGCGATGGATGGGTTATGGTAAGTTAAATTCAAATTTTTTTTTTAATTAAGTATTTAATACCTCTCACCAATAATTTGCATAGCTAAATAGTTAAGATTTTAAAAATATTTAAAACCATATATGCCATTATTAAGAATCTGCTTTTTGCATTGTTACTAAATATTTTCTTGGGTGAAGAACATTTTAAAAGTTTTTAAAATAACCAAAAATTTAATACAAATTTAAAAAAAAGTTGCAGTGGTAATTATGTAAAATAATGAACTTTGAATTTTCTGTGCCTAGAATCTAGAACAATCAGTGAAATTAAACTTGTGTTTTTGCAATAAAATATTTTAGGATTTTCAATTAAAGTTTTTTTTTTATTTAGAATAGATGTGACATTTTATTTATCATCAAGAAATAAAAATGAAAAAAAAAATATAGCAATTGTGGGATTTGGTGTGTAATGAGCAGAGCAACCTAATAATTAAGTTATTTTTTATAAATAAACATGTTTTAATCAATGTGAATTTATCCTTTAAGAGCTGCTATTAAATTTCTAAGTCTACAGCTTTGATTTAAAGTATTAGAATAACTGAAAAATTCTCTTTTTTTTTTGCATTGTGATAATATTTCATTTTTATTTCAACAAAAAAATAAAGCATGGTTATTATTATATCTTTTTTATGGTTATATAGTGGAGGAACTGCAATAAAATTAGTTATTTTATTTATTGTTCTTCTTTTACTGCTTTTATAATTGTATAAAAAGCCAAGGTTACTATTATATTCACATTATTAATACTTGAAAAGATTTTTCAAATCAAAAGGTTTTTTCTTCATTGCTATTTATTTAAAAATAATTTGTAAAAGTAAAGTATAACATTTTATTTTATTAAAGTATAAAATAGCTCTGGCGTATGTATTTGCTGTAATTTTGTAAAACTTATCATGAAAATATATCACTTTCCTTGCCACATTGAAAAAAAAAATGTTTTAGATTTTAATTACTGTTATTTTAAGACTAAACTCTGTTACTTTTTTAAAGGCTCGGAACTATCGTGGGGAGGAAGGTTATATACCTCAAAATTATGTTGAAGTTGTAGAATCCCAGAGTACTGAGACTACCTCTCGTCCTCCATTGACTTCATTTTCTTCTGTTGATTATACAATGCCAAATGAAGATAAAGAAGCTGGCATAGATGTTGAAGGTCAACCTATTTCAAGTACAGCAGCATTTATATAATCAATATTAAAATTCAGTATTATCACTTTTATATTAGCCTTACATGATTAGCTTACATTTTAAATTTTAAAAGTAAATGTCATTGTAAAATTTTCAAATATCAGAATTTAAAAAAAAAAAAAATTGTTGACAAATGACATTGCTTTAAAGCCAAAACTCATGTAACTTAGACAGATACATCATTCTTTTACAGTGGCATAAGTATTGATGAAATATGATTTTTCAAAGTATATACACTGCTATTTGAATGAGTCAACAAAAATGTCTTGTTTCTTGCCTAGAGTCATTGGCGTTGCCTGCTTTAGACTTGCCAAAGGTCATTACTATTTGGAGAGTCATCGGTATTGAATGGGACTGGTAGTTGCAAATACTTGCCTTGTGATTATGGCGTGCTGATGACTTGAGAGTACCTCAATATATGCCCCTCTGTTATAGCACATTAATAGTCGCTACAGGGCAACTAAATATAATAAATGACAATAAAAAAATTGTTAGCCAGTCTCAACTTGATTGAAATTTTTTTGTTAAAAATGCACCCGATTTGCATAGTTTTATTTTAATAAATGCAGAATTATTATGAATAATTTAAAATATTCTGAAAATTACTTTATTTTACATTTGTTTCTCGAAATTTTTTCTTTATTTTAGTAATGACCTTCTAATAATTATTATACTTTGAGAATAACCTAAAAAATGCCTTACAGTTTTAATATCAAAAATTTGTACTAATCATTTGAAATTTTTAATACTTTAAAAAGTGGCCGCTGTTAAGAATGCTACGACTAGCTACTGCCCCAGTAGAAAATTTTTTTAAAATTTTTCCTGTACCCTGTTCTTAATTTTTCACTACATTGAGATCATCAACCTTTTAAAGATCAGAGACAGGCATAGGTATAAAAAAAGATTTTGCAAATTTTTTAATTCACATTTTTTCCAAGAGGACATTTACATTAAAAATATATGACCCCTCCCTTTTTCTTTTTCTTTTTTTCTTCTTGATTTACCCAAAAATTTTACAAAATGATATCGAATAATGTAGCTTATATTCCAGAAAGGAATTTTTTCATCATTAATTAAACATTTAACCCTTTGGTTGCTATAGGGTCGTAGAAACTTGAAAAAACCGAGAATGTCAGTGAATAATGCTTTTTATCAAATCAAAACCTTAGAAAATTCAGCTACAAATTTTGTCATAATTAAAAAAAAGAGAAACCTAAAAATTTATAGTATAACAAGAAGCTGATAAGTTTTTGAGTTAATGAGTAAAATTTATGCAGTATATATATGTAATGTAGTACAGAACCTCTTATCCGGAAATCAGAAAACCGGAACAAAATCCGATAAATTTTCCCGACATTTAAAAAAAATAAATTTTTTTTTCCTCATAAGATTTTAGGATTTTTCTTTCTTTTTTAAAAGATGTTTACCTGACCATCATTTTAGAAACAATCATTAGTGTAATATGTGTAATACTTTATCGTTTTTTCTTCTTTTTAAGATTATTTATAAATATTTTTTTTTAGTTCAGTTTGACAATAAAAAAACGACTTTTTGTAACGATTCAGAAAACCGGAAAAATCAGTTATCCGGAATAGCGATGGTCCCGATTGTTTCGGATAATCGGTTACCTACTGTGCGTATATATATATATATATGCTAAGTAGTTAAATTTATTTATATTTTCTTAATTTTCTTTAAATTAGAATATTCATTCGTACAAAAACCTTTTTTAATAAAAATTTCTTGTTGAATTTTTTTTAATCTTATATATAACCATACTTGCGGTTTAATGGTAATAATTGTCTGAAAAAAATCTAGTATCGATCTCTATATTTAACTGTAGTTTTTAATTACTAGTAAAATATATGATGGCTGTTCGACTGATTTGACTCGATAATTTAAACTATATTTGAGTTCTTTTAAATTATCTAGTTCTTCTGCAAAATGTTGCTTTATATCTCTCATAATGAATTAATTCCCTATTATAAAATGTACATTAAACTTTTACTTAGTAAGATTTTCTTGCTTTTAAAATGCATAACTTAAAAATTTTCTATGAAAACATAAGTTTCATGGCCTATTTAATAAAACATTGTTTTTCCGATAAAATATTTGAAAGTATAGTAAATATATGATCTATTTTATTGATATTTAATAGATAATTGGGTTAATTCAAGTTTGAAATTAAGCTAAAATTCTTGCCTTAGTTAGAAAATTTTTTATGTGGTGTGCTGCTATTTTGTTAAAAAATGTTTGCTTGCAATGAAATATCATGCTATTTAGGATTAAATTTTTGTCGCAAATCAAATAAAAATTCTATAAAGTATTCGACTATCTCAAAAAGAAAATTTTACAAGTTCATCTGTTTCAGCATTTTGTTCTACATAATTGACTTCATTAAGTATTTTAAGTTTAGTTAAAAAAAATATAGAATAATTTAAAAATAAATTTGTATGCCATAATTTATAATGTAATCCTAAAATTTGTCGATGAAATATGCCTTTCATTAAACAATTACTGTAGTGTTCTCTATTCTTTGAGTATATAAAATAAGTTACGTTTTGCAGATGATGTGAATACTGAAAAAGAAGTTAGCGAGCTTACTTCACAAGAGATACAAAGACCTTTGGATTTGCCTTCTGCTGAGCGTTAGTATTTTATTAATTTTTTTCATTTTTATGAATTATTTTATTTTCTCTTTTAATATTTGATTTAAATAAAGTGTTACTTCTGTTTAGTATTTTTTTGCTCTTGCTCCAAAAGCTTAAAACTGAACTAATTTTTGTGCATTCTTCATTTTTAAAATTTTGTTTAAATTCTTAGAAAACCTCTTGTTATAAATATTTATGTGAAAACCATGAGAAAAAATAAATACAGACTCTAAGAGAATGTGAAAATGCATAATTTATGGTTAATTTGCTTATTTATTCTGAGATATCTTAGACAATTTGTGTTTTACATCTGAAGAAATTATGTTTAAATTTTATAAATGTATTTTTTATTTGTTATTTTAAAGTTACTTAAAGAAAATTGGAATAATTAACAACATGAAGAAATTACCAACTTTGAATCTGTTGTACAGACATTCAAACTTTTTTTTTGTTCTGTATAGTCAGACAAAAAAAGAAAAAAAAAAGCCTCCCCCCTTTTTTTTGTTTTTGAAAATCAATTAAGTAGTTTCTGAGAAAGGTTTGTCAAAATTTGTTGTGCTGTAATATAAAATTTCGCACTTTTTAAATATTTAATTACATTTAATTGTTTTTTAAAATTTATTTTTACTTGTGGAAATAAAGGTAAAACGCTCTCATAAAAATACATAGAAATGTATTGACTTCACCATCTGCTTTTTGGATCTAGTCATTGATGTTATTTATTACACTCTTAATTAAAGAATCATTCTAGGTGTAGCTGTTTGTCAAGCAATCTATGATTATGAAGCTACCTGTGATGAGGAAATAAGCTTCTTTGAAGGACAAATTATTAGAATTATTCGAAAAGTTGTCTCAGATGTGGATGATGGTTGGTGGGAAGGAGAGCTGGATGGTGAAATAGGTCTTTTTCCTTCTTTAGTCGTTGAAGAATTGAAAGAAAATGGAGAACCCTTGACACCTTTGACTCCTATGGTATTTATATTAAATTTTGCGTATTCAAATTAAATGTTTATTTCTGTAATCATAATGACTGTTTAACCATTGCAATTGCTATGAATTAATACACATTTTTATATATTTTTTTCAACAGTAGACAATACTAATGAAGTACTATAATATTTTTAGTGAAAAGATTCACCAGAAGATGGTACTGTAATACTGATGTAATGACAGATTTTAAATTAAAAACTAATTTATATGTCGATTGTATATGTTAACTAAAAATTTTGATCAGTTAGCTTCTTTTAAATTGGTAGTCCAATTACACTTTGAATTTAGATGCTTATCAACTAGTTTGTATTATTGAATTATGGTCGTAAATATATTTTGTAGGTATTTGTAAAATTTACGCGATATTTATAAGTGGATGTTTTTTTAAATGTAATTTACTATCATTCATGCACATTATAGATTTTTAGTATTTGTTCTATTTTCTGAATCTTTTCCAAAGCTCAAAATTTATGCATAATTGCAGCATATTTTTGTCTGTATATTATTGCAATTTTTTATAGTAGACTTTTTCTAGTTTCTAAGTTACAATGCAGGTTATTCTTATGTTTATAAGACACATTTTAACTAATTAAAACACATGCACAAGTGATTTTTTGAAATTAATCAGCGAAGTGGCTTATTTCAGACTGTATTTTAATATTTCAGTTTAATGTCTGATAACTTGGATATATTTTTAGTCGTGGTTATTCAAATTCTGTTAAAAGTATCACTTTTTTCAAGTTTAACCAGAAAACGAGAAAGACCTTATACAAGATGGACGGATTTTGTAGAAGCAGCTCTGAAGACATTGGCCATAGCTTCTGATTGGGTGCATTGAAGATAGCTTACTCAGACGGCCTTGACCCAAAGTAGTTTGTTCAGAAAAAAAAGATTTTAATTTAGTTAACGTTCTGCAGAATGTGAAAATTTTTTGCTGATTGTATGGAAATGTGTTTAAATGTTTTGTGTAAGTATAATCAATTTGTGATTTGTATTTTTTACTTTTTTATTTCAGTCACCTCCAAGTGCTCCACCACCTCCTGCATTCGCTCCTCCTGAAGCAGAATTGGTAATTCCAATAGCTCAGGTTATTCTAACTCAACCTACACCAGAAATTGAAACTGCAGATGGAAATGCACCTCAAAGTAAATATTTTTTTTATGTAGTTTGTGTTATTTAAAACAATATTTAATTTTTATGATTTTTTAAAAAACTAAATACTACCTTAAGTTTCTCACTTTTCAACTTGGTAACTTGCAAATGTCAAAAGTTGTGATCGGGGCATATTCTTTGAGAATTATTGTAGGTAATAGATTGCAATAATCCAGTGGTGTAATTCTTAATTTATAGAATCATTAAATTCATTTTTTTAAAGTAATGTTTGTATGCATATATTAAGAAATAAATTTAAAAAAATTTTCTAATGTTTTTATCCTATTTATTACTAAAAATAAATTTAAAGCTTTTTTTTAAATATTATGTAATCTTCTTTTAAAACAGACTGTTAAGCTATGATTTTTGAATCAATATATTGTTTTGTGTTTTTTTAAATCAAATTTGAATCATCATAATTTATTATAAATATTAATTTTTTTATATGTATTAAATAGGTTTTTATAAATGTTACAACTTATACCACATTTAACAGCCTAAAATTTCTAATTTAAGTTTTTTTATTTTATTTTCAAAGTAATAAAAAAAAGTAAAAAATATTAATAGAAATAGAATCAGTATTAAATATTCAAGTTAAAATTTATATCTTTCAATCACCCAATCAGTATTCATTTTTTTAATTTTTTTTTTTAAGGTTTAGCCTGTGATAGAAAGAATCTATCAAGCTATGATCATAAATGTTATTAATTGATTACATGAAATTTATTAATCTAGCTTTTTATACGTGTTATTATCTATGCCAAATCTAACAATCCAAAATTGCTATATTTTAAAATTTTAATAAGCAATTATTAAACGTTTTATTTTAGAAAATGTTGTTTATATCATTATGCCACAATTATTTCTAGCCCAAAATAAATGTCTAAAAATAATTATTTCCTTTTTCAATTGTGGTTTGTTAGTTTTTGCTATTTTGAAATTACAATAAAAACAAGGTTAAATTTAAAATTTGAGTAAATTTAGGTGCATAAAATTATTTTGTTTCTTTAAAAAACATTGGCATGTTGTACCCAGCTCTTATATTTTAAAAAATAGTTTTGCTTTGCTAAGTAAGTAAAGCTGTCCAATTTTATAATACTTTTTATGTCTTAAGTTTATTAGGAAAATAATTTACCCCATTTAAACAAAGTGCTAAGTAAAATAAGTATCTTTACATTTTGTCATTCAAATTGTGTGTTTGATAAATTTTTGAACAAATGGTATTAAATATGTAAAATAATAAGCATATGATTTCTTATTTCTTCTATTTTCTTTTTTAGTTAAGGTAAACATCAAGTAATACTGATTTTTTTTGTCTTTATCATTTTTTTAGTAGCTAAAAAAAATCACATTTTAAAGATTTAAATTTCTTCTCATCTTTGTGTAATTACTATTGATGGATTTTCATAAGCTAACAAATAATATATGTTAGAGATGTATGGGAATCTCTCATTAAGTAATGAAATTTTATGTAATTTATTACAGTTTGGGCTTTTTCAATTCAAATTTTCAGATGTTTGAAAGGAGAAATTTCATTTCCTTTCTTTCTAATGTTAATTTTTTTTTTTATATCCAGTACTTTAATTAATAAAGAAAAAATATTAATAAAATAAATTGTATTAACAAATAAAATTGTATACTTTTTTTCTGAATTTTATTTTTGTGCTGAATTTCCTAAAAGCTTTTTTAAAAATTTTTTTGAAATAAAATTTTTCATTTCAAGTGTTGACAATTTATGTTAAAAAAAAATAGCCTTTTAAACTGCTTATTTAATTTTAAAATAACTTATTTTTATTTTACTTAGTTAAATTTTTTTCCTTCAAATATGCATTTGTTGTAATTTAAATTACATGATTCTAGCTGTTATGCTAAACATGGATGGAGATTTTCATATAGAATTAAATAAAAACCAACAAAGTCAGTATCAGGATCAGTTTTCAGCATCTGACAGTGAATCCAGTGAACAAACTGCCATGGGTAATCTTACAGAAAAGATTTTAGTTTTCAGTCATGCTCACATAGTGCCTGTGGTTTCTCTTCTCAACTAGAATTTAGAACTCTTTTTTATCAAGAATAAAATACTTCATCACCTTCATTAGTAGATTATATTTGAAAGGCTTATGGCATTATAATATTAAGACACATTTTCAAATTGTTCGGGAGAGTTTGATATAAAACACCAAGATTTTAATGTTTGCTATAAGATGTTTTGTTCTGTTATCTAGATGAAATTCAATTAACTTGTAAAGTATCTTCTGGAAACAACGCAAAAGAAAAGTTTGATGTACTGGTTGCACCTTAGAAAAAGTGTGGCTTATCACTTTAATTGCCCCTAGCCTTTCATTTCAATTATAGCATAAATGCAAGCTTTTGTAGGTCCATTGCATTGCTTAATTGCAAATTTTTTATATTTTTTATTTTAAAGTCAATTTATTAAAAAGTCGCTAAAATTTGCAAGTTATACATTATATTTTTTTAAGTTTTAAAAACTTGAAGATAGTTGGCCATTTATGTTGAAAAATATTTAAAAGAATATATATTACTTATACAGAATTTGGGCAAGTATTTTCTATCCTTTATATATATATTTTTTTTAAAAGTTAGATGTTTGTGTGATAGCAAAATTTACACTCTTCTATATAAGGGCAGAATAATTGAAATTAGAAATATACATTTTTTATATAAAATATTGAAAGTAGTGTAATATGCTTTGTAAGTGGCCAATTACTTTTGGACCAAGTTTGAATTCTTGTGAATATTTATTCTAGATACAAAAAGCATGAATTTAAATTGATGCACGTTTACTTTTTTAATAAATAATTATTATATAATTGGTATTTTTGTAGATTTATAAATTCACTAATGTATGCAAATAATAAAGTTGAATGTTTTTCATTTATACAAACAATTATTTATTAATTAATTTACTTTTGTAATTTGCCAGTTTAATTCTTAAAAAATGCTTGTTTCATTTTACTGGATTTTTTCTTGTAGATATAGCTTATACAATTACTTTTAAATTCCATCATTTTTTTCTATGCGAAAAAATAATTTATGCAAGCTAACAATTTATAGTAAAAATAGTTTCTTTTTTGGGTTATAATAAGTTGTATGTTAAAAATAGGTACAAAATAATTATGCCAAAAATGTAGGATTGTCTTTGAATTTCAGCCTCTGAAGAAAATGGAAAATATGTTCCTTTGGTTTCCAGTCCTGATACTCCAGCAAAAACTGTGGTATATTACTTTTTATTATTCTCACAGTTTCTGTGTTAATATATATATATATCAAAGCTTGAATAATTTAGGCTTACTGATGTTTCATATAAATGTTGTGACTAACAGAAATTATTATTTTTTATTGTTGGGAATAAAAATTTGATCATATATATATTCATCTNGAAACCATGAAAACCTGGACGAGCCTATTGTTATAGATGGAGGGTAGTCATAATGTAATGACTCTTCGGTGTATATATATATATATCAAAAAAATTTATATCTGTATGTAAATTATATTTGTTTTAAGTGGGAATAAGCAGTTTAGTTTTCTTTCAAACTAAATTAGAAGTAGTTTTTTTTTGTCTTTATATAAATAAAATATTTGTTTAACAAGCATAATTTTTAGTTGAGTTATATTTATTAAGCTTACATTCTCAAATTTCTTTTCACTAATGTTAGAAAATTCTATTATTACAATAATTATAATGCTGTAGAAAAGTATCTGAACTTTCATTTTAGTTTAAGCAATGCATTGTGACAGTGTATTTTGAAGCACTTCTGTCTAATCCTAAATTAAGGAATGGAAACAATTCATTGAACACATTTCAAGGCATATAAATATTTTCTTAAAAAAAAATTAAGTAATAAACTGTTGATAAGTGTGAGAAATGTATTGTAGCTTATCAACAATAAAGTTACATTTGAAAGCTGTTAAAAATTTAAAGTATGCTGACTTAATATTGTTATACTTTAAAAAAAAAAAAAGGTTTATCGAAATGGAGCAAAAGTGTGGCAAAATAGCTCCGAAACAAATATAGTTGAATTTCAAAACACCATTTATTGAGTATAGTGATATTCTAAAAAAATGAAACAACTCTAAGAATCCATCTTTATTTGTAAATAAACATAGCGGCAAATGTTGATTACAATCTGAAGTTAGGAAATAAGGGAAGTGCAGTAAATTTTTTTCTAATTAGACTTTCTTTTCGAGTATTTGATCGTTATAAACTAATAATGTTTAATGATATGTCATTTTGTCAAGATATGTTATTTTACAGACAAATACTCGAAATTACTCTTATATTAATCAAAAATGAGTATATGCTTTTTCAATTTTGACCATGTCTCTATACTTAATAATGTGTTCTTGGGTTTTCAAATTAAATTATATTTGTTTTGGACCCATCTTGACACATTTTTGCTAAATTTTGGGGAAACCTTTTTTAGAGTATAATAATGTTGAATGCTGTTTTTCAAAAGAAACATTCTTATTGCTGGGATAATAAAGCTGCTGTAATTGCTGCAAAGTACAAGATGTATTCTAAATCTTAGTGATTCAAGGACTGATTTCCAGATCAGTTCCAAATAAATTTGATAAATTTGAGTTTAAAGTCTTTTCTCCCTTGTGAGTAAACTAAATTTCCCCAACCTTAAAGACCCTATTGCTGATATTAATAGCTGGGGTATTTACTGAATTTCATGTCAATGTGATTTTGCATACATTGGACAAAATAAACGTTCCCTTAAGCTTTGACATAAGGAACACAAAAGATAAGTCCAAAATCAGGGCATTTACCTATCTTCCATTACCCTACATAGCTGTAATTCAAACCACAAGTTTAAGTTTTCTTCTGCTAAAGTCATTTAACACTATTCATCATCTACTGATCTTGATTTCTGGCAATTACTCCTAGAAATCAAATTAGTATTTTAATCAAATCATATTTTAAAAAATTCAAGTAATATAGCTATTGATTTTTCTACTATCTCATTTTCCCAATATTTGGAGATTTATTCTAATGTAATGTTTGCACCGTGTTTTTCCTGCCAAGCCCTCTCACATCTGTTCTTTTTCATCTCCCTTTTATTATCTTGTTCAAACTTGTTCCTCTGTCTCTAGTTTAATTTATATATCTAATATAAAACCATGTGTAATTATGTCCATTATACCTTTTACTAGAAATCTCCATTGAGAAATCACTATATTATTTTTAATGAGATAAAAGTGATATAAATCAATTATATTTGTAGCCCGGCAGGAAAAAATGTTATTTCTGCTAAGAATTTTTTTTTGTTGCTTTATCTGCTGTTTTTTGCTGTTTATGTAAAAAATTAACAATATTTATATTTTAATGTAAACAGTGCATCTTGACAATACTTTAGAAACAGGCATTTATATTCAAAATAAAAGAAGATACATGGAAATTGAATTCGCTAACAGAATAAATTTCAAAACATACTAACTGTTTTTTAAAGAAAAAGAAATATGCTATTGAAAATTTGATAGTATGAATATTAATGATCACATACTGAATTACAAAAATATTTTTTTCTTACTTACTACTCAAATTTAATTTAATGCAGCGAAGTCTATCTATTTATTATTTTTTTTACCCTATAATCGTTTTCACTTAACTCTGGGTGCAATCTGTTTACTTTCCCACCTGGAAAATCTGCTTTCCCTCTTGTTATTCAATAGGAATATTCTGTCTGACCTACAAATTTTTGTACAAATCTGTTCTTGTAGCAAATCGGTTACAGCACTTTTCTAATTATAAATTTGGGTTACTCCTTCTATATTTGCATCAGATACATGAATCTTATGTAAAGTAATAGTTTTTTTGGTATTTTCTTATACTGCATTTTATGTATGCAATCGGTTGTGAGATTCTTAAATTTTCTTTCTCAGACTTATTATTGCCAATGAAAGACCATAGGGGTAAAAAGTGATGACCTGTATTTCTTAAGAATTTTACTTTTTTTCTATTTAAAATGACATTTATTTTTAATTGTTGTATTATTAAATTATTTATTATATGTTAGCTACAACGGCAATTGAGCCATTAAAGTTCCAGCTTGCCTGTACTTTATAATTCTACAAGAAGAGTTAGATAGTGCTTGGCACTCTTAATCTGCTAGCGTTGGCTGACCAGAGTCCCATGAAAAACTTAATGCTGCATTTGTAATACTAATATGGTATAAATGGACTTGACTATCATGTTTTGTCAAGAGTTTATTAAATAGAATAGCAACAGTGTGCAGAAAATATGAAGCAACTTTGGTTCCACAGTGACATATAATGAACTAAATCATACATATGATATTATTAAATAGTATTTGAAAGTATACTCCATTGGTAAATATGTTTAAAAAATGTAAATCTGTTTATTTCTAAGCAACAAAAAGATTATCACATTCACTCCAAAGTTCACAATTTGAGAAGGCTGCTTGCAAAAGTTTTACTTTTTAGTTCTTTGAAACATATACTTAAAGATTTAAAAGAATTATGTTTAAAATAAACCTGAAATAATTGTTTTCAATGTTAATTCCATTATTTGTGCTCAAATATAATAGCATTAGTTAATGTATCAGAGTTATTAAATAAATAAATTAAGGTTTCTCAGACTTTTGCTTACATTATGTTAAAGCTCACGATTATTTTGTAGGTAGCATATTACTAATTCGTACCTTTTTTTAAAAATATTTACAGCCGGAAAATGCAGAGGAAGCTAAAGAAGCAGTAGCAGAAGAGGGTACATCAACACCATCACAAGGCACAGACGAATGTCCGACAGTAGTTGTTACAGCCATCACTGGAGGAGACACGCCCGTTTCAGATGATGAGGATATGGAATTGAAAGAGAAAGAGGAAGAAGGAAACGCAAAAGAAACTACCCCCAAAGAAAACCCCGAAGAAGTGCCCGATAAATTCGAGTGTACTTTTCCGGATGATGACGTATTTTCAAATCCTCCTGTGCCAAATGATGCGCAAAATCAAAAAGATGCTAAAAAAGAAGACCAATCGTGTGTAGATGTAGAACAGATTAAGATGGATATAAATGGTTCTGACAGTGCCAAGAGTGCTTTTGACGATGCTGGCCAATCATCTGAAACTACTGGATAATTTTGACTTAAAATATTTAGTATCAGTAATCATAAAGGACACTCATAGTATAATGGAATGAAAGTGGCAAACTTATGTGTTCTAGGAATGGCTACTGTACAAGCAAAAGTGGTGTTTTGTTTTCAAATATTTGTCATTACCATTATTTGTTAAAGTTTACGATATTGTTCAGAAATTTTGATTAAATTAAGATATTGTTGAGATTGTCCTTTGATGTTATTAAATACATTCAATAAAATGTATCATTTTCAAGCAGATTAGATGTTAATTATGTATGTGTTTCTGAAAAATCTGATTAGTATGACCATTTTATCCAAATTTAAAGCCACTTTTTAATAACAATCCTTTTGCTCTTTTCATAAAACTGTTTTGTATTCTCAAGTTTTTTAAAATTAATATATTTATCTTTTGAGTCATATAAAATTTTTTTCCTCAATTGTAAAATTTTTTAATGATATATACTACTACAGTTTTGCAATTGTGTGTAATACCCATATTTTCCCCCACTTGTGTACATATAAAGTTTTCTTACTAACTAATAATTATACAAATAGTTTACATTTCTATTGAGTCTAAATCAGTCTTTTTCCCCTCCGTGCTGCTCTGTTTCATTGCCGTCATTTTTTTCTTCACATTTTTATAAAACTCATTTATACTGGGTGAAACTGTGTTTAAGTGCAATTAATATTAATTAGTACATATCTTAATAAATCATTCTTATATGAATAAGTTGCTGGATAAATTTAGTATTTGTTAGTTTTTTTTTTTTTTAAATTAAAAAATAGTATGTACTTGTGACCATGCTCTGAAAGGCCAAATTATTAGAGACAAGACAACCTTTGCTGTTAGGCGTATTTATTTTTGCAAATTTGTGAACTGAAAAAGCCTATATGTTAGATTTAGTAAGATTTGTTAAGCCTGTATGCCATCAGAATTTACTGTTTATGAAAAAGAACCAAACATAAACGAATTGTGATTAATCTCAGATTACAGTAAATTCATGATAATGTGAATATGGTAGGACTGGTGAAAAAATTCAATCTATCAAAATTTCAACTTACTGTTTTGATTCATGACTTTGAAATATCTCATAGTTATTTTAATTAATATGCAATTATTAGAGAATTGAGAATAATTAATATATTAAAGAGAGTTGTAAAAACTTTCTTGAAAGTTTTGCAGATCTTTCTCCTATAAATTGGCTAATTAGTGTAAATTTTCAAGCATTTTTAAAAGATCTTGCATTTTTTTAAATGTGTGGTGTGAACTTTTTACTATTTAATTGTATTTATAAATATTGAATTTTATTTTAAAATGTATAATGCCTTAGTGCCATTTGAAATATTTTGCTGAAAAGGAGGACCAGAATTTTTTTCAAAGTATATATATAGTGAAAAACTAGTTTTCCCTCTTTTCAAAAATGACTCTTTTTTTAATTTTTTTATATTTTTAATTTTCTTCTAAAATGTTATTTGTTTTTCAAATTCCCTAATGATTACTAAGAATTATATTGTAATGTTATAGTTACAAGAATAAAATATTGGTAACGAGAACATTTCTTGCACTTGCAAGGTTAATATTATTAGAACTTATATAGTTGAAAGTATATTCCAAAATGTTTGCACAAAAGCATTGTGTTATAGGGGTACTTGATGTTATGAGAATTATTGCGACTGCAAACTGTGTGTTAGAAAAATAGCAAGGTGCAATTAAATATGCTTTCTATATGGAAAAGAAATGATGCAAACAAAATAATATCTTTTGTGTTTCTGCAAATATATATAACATGGCAGACATAATATGTTGTGATATTTGCTTCCAGATGTAGATTTTAATTTTATAATGTGTATACAAGTAGTTCATTGTGGTTTATGTATATAAATTCTTTAGTGCAATAAAACTGAATTTGATCTCATTTCAGTTATCTTATTTACCATTACATATATTTTTACATGAGACTAATCCCTTTACAAAAGACTTCTTATCTAATGCATATAAAAAGATGCAAATTTTTTATACAATATATATATGTTTATTCAGAGTATCTCTGATTTTATAAGGTCTAGTGCATTGAATATTCATAGCATCTTAAAATAAAGATTACAACTGTAAGATTATATGTAATTGATATTATCCGATTTTTAATGTTTAACTTACATAGCCAGCCTTGTTATTTTTATCTATATCACTATTTGTTTATTAGTATTAACAAGTTTAATAAAAAATGCATATTAAAATACTTAAAATTAGTACTGACTTCTTAATAAACAAAATAATTTTAACAAACTAAAATACAATAAGGTTCAGACTACTTTTTTAGTTATATTAAATTTTAACAAATAAGGAAGAGTATTAAATATCTTTTAACATATAGAAAAGGATTATAAATTATGGGGATAAATATTTATCATTTTTCCTTTTCATGATTAATTTTCTTTTTCTCTCATTTTTTTTGTCTTTCTGAAAATTTTTGTCAAATAGTCTAGAATTCTTGCTCTTTGAAAAGTAAAACTTGATTATAAGTAAGTGGGTACATTTCACCTAACAGAAAGGCTTGAAGGGAATTTGGTTTTGTCTACCATTTTAACTTCTACGAATAGAAGTTTCAAGATGTTTTTGATTGGGCAGAATTTGAGTTGAAATCTTGTTACATTATACCCTTTAGTTAGAATATTGTTTGGAAACAAAAGGTTCAGCCCTGGTTCAAAAGTTTTAGTATAGCTGTATGTGCCGAGCACTTAAAAATCTTTTTTTGAGTAAAATATTTTAATCAAAAGCTTTTCTTACTTATGATAGCTAAAGGAAGCAAGATTTCAGCATTACCATAGGACTGTGAAAAAATACTTTAAAAATTTGTTTTGTTTAAATAGTGTATATTCGCTGTAATTTTCTTAGTACGAGTTATCAATAAAATAGATCAAAATACTATTCGGATTGTATTGCAGCAATAATTTGCTAACATTGCACAATTTGGAAGAAAATTAGTTTTTAACATCAGGTAACAATTAAGTAAATGTTACTTAAATTCGATGAAAAAAATGGAAATGCCATTAAACAGTTTATGATATTTATTTTCCAAAATTGCCCAATGAAATTTTTTTTTTTACCTTAATTAAGTTAAGCATGCATAATTCTGTTGTATAATGGGAAATACTTCGAAATTCAATTGAAATATTTGCGACTGCCTCAAGGGGTTTACCTTCTGCAGGTAAACACGGGTGCCACAAACCCGAGGTGCCCTAGTGATCTTTCTTGGTATTTTCTTTAATTATCTGAATTAATTTATTTTACTGCTTGATCAGTTTACTTATGTAATGAGTTTGTAGCATCATAGCTTGCATTTCATTTAACTAGTATAAATAACCAAGTATTTACTCTTTGTCAGTCTTAAATTTGACAACCATCATGAGAAACCTTATTGAAATTGCCTTGCAAAACCAATTATTGAAGAGCTCTGGGAGTAAAAAGTATATGCCCACATTTTTCTAGTTTAGTGACATATTTTTCTGACATATCCTGCAGAGATGTGCGGCTTCATATGAAAGTTAAACACCGATGAAAGCTTTTACTACTTGAGAACAGATTAACCCATCAAACCTTTCATAAAAACTGTAGGAAAAGCATAATATTTTTAAAACATGATCAATACCAAGTAATGAAACAAATTTTCCTATAAATACGACAACCGTCCAATACACTACTAAAAGGTACAAAGGTTGACATACCTTACAAAAAAGATTTTTTATGAATGGAAACTGAAAAACAATCTTTACATAGTCCTCAATAGCAAATTGTAATAGGCTTTCTTTTACAAGATTTTAATTGCCATCCCTTTTGACGACATTCTTAATTAACTAATGCTCAGAATTCAGAAGACTAAGTCTTTTTTAATTTTACTGCTGTACACCTATTTGTCTAATGTATCTTGAAATCGCCTCATCAAGGTAACTTATTGTTACTGACAAGGGCACCGGCAGCGGGGTGCAAGAAGGTGCACTTGCCCCCTAGCTTTTTTTAAACAAAGAAATACAGAAAACAAATTTTGTTAAAATATTTTTATTTAAAAACAAATAATTAAGTAATTATTGATATTTAACAATTAAATTGTTTAATCAAAGAAGAATTGTAATCGACTTGTTTGCTGTCCAAATTTGTTTATAATTTTGTTAATGGATTCTGAATCATCTTTGATTCTTTTCTTATGCACACTGAGCATGCGCAAACTTGGCAGATATCTAAGCTATAGTTTTAAATTTCATTTAATAAAATATAAATAATATTACATTTTCTATTAGTTATTTAGTTTAATAAAGGTGTATAACACAAATTGACTTCTCACAACTGTAAAACTTCATCAACACAATAAATACCAATGTTAAGCGTGCACAAACACGCTAGTATACGAAACTACTGCTTGTAGTTATTTGTGTTTCGAAGTCAGTAGCTATGCCAGCGCCATCAATACAGTTTCTTGTGACAAAATTTGCAAGTACAAAAAATTCGTACTTTTTTTTTAAATATCTTGTCAACAATGAAGAAATGTATCTTGAAAAAAATTGACAGATGAAAGTATATGTAATAACAAAACAAAATGTAATAACAGAATATTAAAAGTTTTTTTTTTTTTGGGGGGGGGNTCAATATTATTTTGTAAAACTCATTTAGAGGGTTGAACCCCCTTTTATATTATTCTGCCGGCGCCCTTGATTACTGACCTTCGAAATGCCAATCATTTCTGCCAAAATGGTGCAAAATTTTTTGGCTGACTGATAGATTTTCTAAAAATATTCCAAATTGTTGCAGTGCAACATTTAGTTTTTCAAAAATTGGATGAATTTTGCAATAATTATCTTCTTTTGCCGAATAGTCATTGTACGTACCTTTCTACTCTTTTTTTTTTTCTTCCTTTTTTTCTCCTTTTTTCCTCCTTTTTTTTATCTTTTACTCTTTTCACCTTTTTTTTCTTTTCAACTGTCCTAAAAATGGGACAGCAGTCCTAAGTATGTTAAACGCTCTCATTGAACTGAATAATTTATCGTAGTAAAGTGAAAATTATTTTGAAGTTTGTGATGCTTTTATACAAGTATTTGATCCAAATAATTGAAAACAACATTAATTAAAAATAATTGCAAACTTGGAAAAAAAAAATTGTTTTTTGTAAATTTTTCTGCAAATATTTTAAAAGAAAATATACAGTTACAATCCATTTACATATTCTATAAACCGATGACAAATTTGAGTTTGAAAAAAATATCAAGGATCGTAAGCAATTTCTATAATGATTTCTAAAAATTGCACTATATATACAGTCGGGCCTCTATTTAACGAAGTCGCTAAATCCCAATAAGTTCGTTATATGGAAAATTCGTTAAAGAGAAAATTACGTTTTGAAATACTTAACCAATAGAAAACAGGTTTTAAATTCGTAAACACTAGACATAATTAAAATAGCAATTGATACACCTTTATCGTGTAAATCTTAACTAATAAAAGAAATCTCTATGGGAAGCAAGAATAGAGCAAAACATTATCCAGTGTTACACTATCATGCTACATATTCAACTAAAAAAAAATCTAAATTTGTGCATAAAATTATAGCTGCATTTATTATAAAAGTAATTTTAAACATACATTACCGTATGCGTTCTTAAGTTTAATTGCTACTGGTAAATCCGTTTGTCTGAGGTTTTCATTTGAAATGCAAATAAAAATTAAAAGGAATTTTACTACTTTCTCAAAAATATAAATGGCTGCGAAAATCGATTCCAAGGTCCTTTCCCTTATAAAACTTTAACGTTAGGAATGTTCTGAAATATTTTGGGAAATAAGGAAAGTGGATCTCAAAAAGAAAAGTTCGTTAAATAGAAAATTCACTTCGCTATTTGGAAGTTATTTTACGAAGAAATTTCCAAAATGTTCTTGGTTCCTTTATAAAAAATCGCAGAATAGAGAAATTCGCAAAATGGAAGTTCGTTAAATAGAAGTCCGACTGTATTTTTTTCCCCCCCTTTAAATTTGATGTGGACCAATTTTTTTTAAAAAAAAGATCGAGATCAAAGGTTGGTAAAAATTAATATTTGCCTTATAAACTCAGATAAAATAAATTTTACAGTTCACGTCATATTAATATTTAGTTGAATGAATAAAAAATACGCTCAAAAACTAACAAAACAATAAATGAAAAGCAAGAAATTTGGTTACGATAACTGATTTATTGTGTAACAAGTAAGCAGAACTTAATTATTTTTCAGAAGATTTTTTTTGAAGTGATATAATCAATCATCTTTCAAATAGATAAAAATGGGAACAATGTATTGGATGAGGAGACTAATCATGCTTTGCAGCTCATTTAATACACGTCTCATTTGTTAGTTTTGATAAAAAAGAGTGGGGGAAAAAAACACATTTAAGGAGTTTCAGTATTGATTATTTCTAAGTTACTAGAGTAAAAAAAAATTAGTTTTAAAGCTTATGAAGATTTAAGAAGTTATATTCATAATTTTTTTTTTATCTAAATCTTAAATGTTGTTTCCATTAAACATATTTTTTATGTATCCTTACTCAGCCAAACTTATGAGTTTTAAGATTAATTATTAGTAATGCAAAACATCTGTTAAATATCTCTTTGAACGAGTTAGTTTACTTTTTAAACTAAATCAAAGATTTAAGTAATGGACTTAATTTGTTTTAAGATTTTTTTTAAACGAGTATTTCTGTGACGTAAGATTTTTTTTTTAACCGTTAACTGCATTTGTTTTCTATAGCCTTGTTTCTCCGTGCCTTGTTAATGTTGCGGTTTTGATATTCTTAATACGTAATGTTAAAGCTAGGTACAGTAAACCGATTTATTCGACTCTGGTGTTATTAAATGCTTCTTTAATTTCATCTGATAGTTTCTTTTTTTTTTAAATTTTA